TATATGGTCACCTCCCACTGAATTCCGTTGCTCACAATTGCGCAACTACCCCCTTAAAGTTATATTCAACATCCTGCTTGATCTCAAAGACGTTTTAATTGACATGGACATACGTCATTTTGTTAGCGCATAAAGCAAACATATGTCTTCATTAACCCTTTGGTTTCCTTGTGATTCATATAACAGTTATTAATATTAGGTCTGTGGGTAGTCAGTTCTTTTCTGTGCATTGATATTTGGTCTTTGTCTTTCTATCAATAGGATCTTTGAAGTCTTTTTTAACAAAAAAGGGTAAACAGTCTGGTTAAAATTTACAGTGGTAAGAAACAGACTGTATGAAAGTCAGAAAATATAACTTTTTTCTATAGACAAGCAAAGCTTAACAGTTATATTAATAGTCAGGATATATCATAATGTTTAAAACAAACTTTCTCTACTTAATGTCGCGACAAATGCTTTAATTTCGAGATTTACAATCGCTCAGATTGTTTGCAACATATTTGTAAAGCTTCAGGTGACCTATATGAAGTCCTTCTGCACTATTGTGATTTTGCCCATTTTGTTTATCCAGGTGTCTCTTTTCAGAACTGCAATGTATGTGAAAAGTTGTCCTTATTGAAATTCACAAGCAACATTGCTCGACCCTTACTAATCTTCACATACTGTATGTACAGTAGTCACTGAGACCTGGACAAAATGATTTCAGTCAAACTTATGACTGCAGACACACGCTGTAAACACTAATGTTGATGTGTACTTAAAACAGTGTAGTTATATTTACTTTACTATGTGCAAGATAAATAGTTCATCGTAAGGATGACATTAAACAAAGCCAATACTCATGTATAGACAGTGAACATGGTTATACACACAAAGACAAAACACCAATCAGGATAAAACGCAGTAAATGTGTCACACGAGGACTTCTGGAAGTGTCCTTTACTGTTTTTCACCATAAATTCATGGCTTTTACTGCCAAAAAACATCATTTTGATAACATTTTAAAATTATATATAATGCAACGCTAAACTCGTTTTTTTGCTGTATATGATAAGGTGACTTACAGTTAACCAATTAACGTGTTTACTGTTGTATTTTTACAGGTTTTTTTCTGTAAAATTTAGAGACTTACAGTGTACTATTTGAAACAAAACTGAATAAGCAAAACAAGATAAAAATACTGATTTTTTGTGTACATATTGTTTTGTTGAAAACAGTTGCTTACCGTTATTGTGATTAGTGTTCCTGTTGGTCAATCTCGCACTTATCCAATCGTTTTTCAGCAGTTAACTTTCTAGCATCCAGTTGTACACAAAGCATGCTAGGGACTAGGAGAAATCCCTGTCCAGTCTGAATAATGCTTAGCTGTTATTGTTCTCAGTCAAATCATCTGAAATCATGAAACGAAAACAACAGTATGTTAATTGCAAATTTGAGTTGACTGCAACTGGTTAGTCGTAATGGAATGGTTAGTTTAACTCATTGTGAAGGCCACATTAGGTGAACCTGAGAATTTAGTTCATAAATATACAAAAAATAAAAATGTTGTCCATATTGAACATGTTAAGTTTGAGATTAATTCTCCTGAAATGATGTTTGGTTCTGTTTTGGTGTCAAAATCCTGTCACTCACTAAGTCAGATTTTAGATTTGACATACATTGTTTTGTATGTGTATGTATTTATATGTGAGAAAGCATGAGGGAGAGAGAGAGCGACATAGAGCTCATGTGCTGCTAATTTTTCTGAATGCTCTCAGTGTACAGACAGCACAAAATCCCAACCGTGAATTATAGGACACTGTAATGCATTTCAACATTATGAGCATTGTGTTTTAGAAAGTGGTCATAGTTTGTATTCACCGCAGGAACAAAAAAAAACAATTTTTCACCTTTTGTCACACTACTCATTCTGTCATTTCACAATGAGAGTCTGGGTGTGTACACGGTTGGTTAGCGCTGCATGGTTTGCTTAGATCAATGCTGATTCTTACCTTATTGAAAAGTACACATTTTAGCTGCAGTGCTGTAATAGGGGAGAACAATCAGGGCCTATTCAGGGCTGAAGGACACCCTCCCTCAGTCAACATTTGGCTCTCAAATCCATAGCCCGGCACCGGCTCTCTGGCCCCCGGAATGCATCAGTTACTTTCAATGCTCAGATATTCATTTACAGAGTTGTTGTGAAGCCATTTTGTGCTGTTGACTGTGAAAATGTACTGAGAGAGGATTTCCAGCAGCAAAAATCAAGATGCTAAATGGTGAATGTTCATGGTAGGACATCTGTCATATCCTCTGACACTGCAATTGGACAAATAAGGCATAAACATGAAGCAAAACTGCATTGAAACGCGATACGAGTGGATACCTGTGTATTGCCCCATAGCACACGTGTTCAGGACTGTGTGTGAGAGAGCTGCTAATGTAATTTGACCTCAGGAAGGTGAGCAATTGCAGGCAGAGCACTAGTAACCACACACTGAAACTCACCGCAATCCATCAACCAATTGCCCATGCAAATTTGATACGAGCCAGGCAAAGACAGGTCTGTTGATTACACAAGCACACATGCCACTCTCAAGGTGCTCAGGCGAGATTCTTTAATAGTTAGTGTACTTAATTCTGCATAAGCACACATTCAGTATCCTAGTGATTCTTTTTCCGAATGTTTTCAGGACACCGGTGATTTTATGTGGCAGATATTTGTAACTGTTTTGCCACTATTGGTTTCAAAATGTTTTAAAAGTTTCTGTATTTACTCTTTAAGTGATTAAATGTTAAGTGATGTTGAATGATTGTTACAGCTGATAAAAGCAATAGTTATATTTGAGTCAAATAATATGAATTTCTTTGTGTTTTATTTATTTTATGTTTTATTTTCTCCTGTGGAATACAAGAGGAGATATTTCGAATAATTTTCATGTAGTTCTTTTCAAAATATTCCCTATTGTGTTGCATAGAAAACAAAAGTATACGTGTTTGAAACAACATGAGGGTGAGTAAAAGACTGCTGTAAGGTTAATTGTTCTTTTAAAATGTGTTTAATATCATGTGAAGACCAGGGTTGGGCAAAAATCTGAATTGAAGTTCATGAGTTGGAATTTGAATTGAATTGGCCCCGCCTAAAAACACTATGAATCTATCTATCTATCTATCTATCTATCTATCTATCTATCTATCTATCTATCATCTGTCAAAGTTTGTCTTGACGTGTTTTTATGAACTTTTTCAATAAAAATATCATACATAACAAAACTTTTTGCAATAATCTTTTCATTTTAACTCATCTAAATTTGTCTCCTATAATATTTATACTGGAACGGCATCCTTTTTTAATTTTTTTAAACCGCTATGGTTTCCGGGCCCCCTGAACATCATATTGACCCGCTTGGAATCATCCTAACCTTGGAATCATGATTTAACCTTGCAAATCATACACATATACCCACACAAGTAATACCTTCTTCTTCAAATATGGGTTCACATTATGCAGAGAATTCCATAGAATGTTCTGGAATGTTAAAAGTTATTGATGGACACAGAATACTAAATGTTCTGAACTGTGAGGTGTTGAGTCTTGACAACCAACATTTTGTGGCAAATTATTATAATTAGAGTCTATAACTGACTGTTCTGTCACCAAGGTCCTTCCCTTCCCCACTTTATATGCCCATATCATTCAACATTCACATCAAAAAATAATAAGCCTTTTGTTTTTAAGAAACAGCAGGGGTTTTTTTTTTTTTTTTAGAACTCTGTGTGACCTTAACTGGATTTTATATCAAAGTAAGCTTTACTATCCTTTTTGGCATTACATAATGTACGTTATATAATGTGCGCATTACACAATGCATGGCAATTTTTTTTGTCATACTGAGCTCAGTGAATCTTTGCATCATGTAACGTTCGTGATGCAGCAACCCCATTTAACCCCAGGAACAGGTGTTTCCACCTTGTCTGACCTCTCTCACAACTACAGTTCCCTCCGAATTGGCCCTAAACAGTGACACCTGCAGTGGCCACATCTGTTTTTGACTGACCCCGTCTGTCCTCAGGCTCTTTGATAAAACAGGAGGAATGCAGGCGATCCAGTTCCCGACTCATCACTTTTTCGCATCCTTCTTCAACATTGCTGCTTCTAGAAATTCACGGAGCAATGAAATGGCTGCTCTGAACCTGTACATAAAGAGAAAGATAACTGGTTGGTTTGGTACTTCGTGTGAGGCATCTGATGGAAACTGATTGATGCTCTGATTTGTTTCGGCCTGAGATACTCTTCAGACAAAACAATAACAGCTTTCAGGAGATTTTCAGTAGTAAATTAGTCTGCTTTAATATAATCACTATACGTGGGCATGTTACAATATGCACGAATGTCTTATTTAATGTCTGTGTGGGAGCTATGGAATTACGTTATGATGACTGAGAGAGCCAGACAATGAAGTAATAAAAGATATTTATTTATGCAAGCTGAAAATATGTTGTTTATAGTTAATTCAACTGAAATTATGTTTAATTATAAATAATGCAGTATTTAAACCTAAATTAAGTTTACTTGCAACTAGCCAACTGCAATGAAATAGTTCAACATGATGTCTGAGGCAAATCAAAAATACATGAACAAGTTTAGGTTGTTTGCTGGTTTCCCAGCCTGTACGCTGGTCTATAGCTGGGCGATAAAGTGATGTACAAAACCAGCCAATAAACCAGACTCGAGAGTCCTGCTAAGATCATTTAATAGCATGATATGTTGGTTCATAAACAAAACAGGGTTCTCATCACACACAAAAAAAGTGAGCAAATAAATCAATTGTTTACAATAAGAAAGCCTCAGTATAATTTTAAAAGAAAGCAACATCTCCATGTTATACACCTCGGGTGAGCCACGCCTACCTGCTTTGTGATTGGAGAAGGCGCTCTTTCCTTCGCTCTGAATGGCTAACGCAGCTGTCACTCAAGTGCTACGTTTTCACAATGTGATACTTTACAACAGGTAAGGCTACCTGAGTGACACAAGGTGGGTTTTTGGATACACCGCGCGTCTGGATGTAACGACAAGGACTTTTACAATAATCCCGTATGTGTGTATTCGTAAATAAAAATAAGCTCCAAATATAATATCCGATATTTGCATATAGAAATGGCAAGTGTAGGACTGGCCGTTGGCGCTCCGAATCCAGAAGAGAGGGCGGTTTTCACGCAGCTTAAACCCGTGCGGATGTGTAGCGCGGATGGGCCGGAGGACTCGTCTGTGTTTGAGGACGTCAAACCCGCGGTGAGACTAGTAACAAACGCTGTCGAAATGGTTCTGACTTACACTGGAAAACAAAAAAATGTCAATGTCAAAACCTATATTATATAAAAAAAAATATAGGCGCACTTTTAAGAGAAAGCACTTGCTCAGTTACAAAAAATTATCTTTACGAACGGCTTTCTGTAATGCAAGTGTCTGTTTTTTTTAAGTAGCCTATTAAGTATTGTTTATCAAATATTGAAAATATTACAGCCATCGCTATCAAACTGCTTTCGTTGAAGTGTGCATGTTACATCTTCACATAAGGGTCAACTAAACTGCTGTATGTTTGTCTCGCATTGCGTTTACATTTATTAATTTAGCATGATAAGTATGAATAGTTGCTTATGCAGTGTATTATTAGTAGGAGTATTATTATTGCTATTAACACCAAAACGCCATCTCATAGTATTTTTATGTTTTTTTTACATTTCAGTAATTGAAAGAAATCAGAATTAGATTACTTGTGAAGTAAATGTCTTTATTTTATGCAGTAACACATATTTATCTTTAAATTTGCATGTCAGTTTTGCAATTAACACTGACGTCATATTGTCCTGTACATAGTCTATACCTGACTTTATTATGAATATATTATCTCAGATGGATTGAAACAACTTTTACTAGGACATTAACACAAGTTCAGGTCTTTAAAACAACCTACATAATAAGAGTCAAATGTGCGCGCTGTAAAGTGTACTTGAAAGCGAAGGAATCAAAGAATAGAACCATTTTCTTTTATTACCTTCTTTTTTGTGAGGTACAATAATACACAAATGCTTAGCAACTTCAATGCACAGTTTGAAGTTATGTAGAAAACCATAGTGTCATTTAAGACTGTGACAGTGTTAGTCAAAAGTTTAAGATTGAGTTTGCCCTAAGAGAAAACTCAGACTAATCCACAGGTTTAGAATTTATTTATAGAATCAGATTTCTCTATAGTTTGCTCTTTGCCTTTGGTCAGACTGCCTTTAAAGTATCACAATGGCCAGTATCTGCTATACATTTCCATGATGTTTTATTTTCTGTTTTAATGATCATATCTGAGTCCACAATGACAACTGAAAATGGTTGGGTAGGGTGACCATACGTGCCATTTTCCCAGGATGTGTCCTGGCCAGGATTTCTATATTGCCTAAAATATCTAGGTTTTGGCTTTGTTTGCGTGTGCAGACTGATCGGTATATGACATCAAAATACCATACAGACGGTTCCTTATGCTTTCAAAATGCTCTCGAGGTATTTTGATGTCATATACCGATCAGTCTGCACACGCAAACAAAGCCAAAACCTAGATATTTTAGGCAATATAGAAATCCTGGCCAGGACGCATCCTGGGAAAATGGCACGTATGCTCACCCTATGGTTGGGTCTGAAATGCGAATCGAATGTGCTGTGTTGGATCATATGGCATCCTAACTAGAACACCACTAGTTTATGACTGGCTGAGCCAATGACTGATGACCTTGTTGCACTCCTTCAAAAGTTCGTAAGGCCACAGGGAGCATGTAGGTTGTTGGCTACACTGAAGAAAACAGCCTGGGCCTTCGCATGGTCTCTGTTCCCTCGTTTTCGGTTGGTGACGAGAAGCACATGTCTGACCTCATGACCCCCAGTACTTGTTGGGAAAAGTACCAGCTATTAAAGGAGTCATAATCATAGTCTAAATTAAACTAGATTGCTAAAATAATCCGAAACCAACAAAAGCCATGATTATAAATAAAGATTATCTTAATTACATGATTGATTTGGCACATCTAATCATAAGATATGGCTGAGTCACATCGTCTTGCAGTGTCACGCATCTCTACTGCAGTAATTTACTTTCATTTTCTGTAACAAAACCAGTGGTCATATCCACTGCTGTGAAGAGTTGTCGAGATGGTTACTTCAGTAGTCTTGGTCCTGAAAAGCCAAAACGACTGTTATCTATTTCCCCCAAAGCCATAAAACATCATTTTCGTCTCAAAGGTTTTGTTTTCTCTTGCTGGTGCCCTCGGATGATTTGTGCTGTTATGGCTTCAGTAAACAGACAATAAGCCTATCAGTCTGGTTTTATGAGGATCTGTGGACGAATCTCCATCTTTTTGAATTCCTTTTAGGCCATAAAAGACTATTATTTCAAAGGGAAAGACCTTTTGTGTTGTAATTAGGAAAAAGGTCTTTGGGCTAACAGGGTATTTGGACTCTGAAATAAGCTGCGAAATCTCACGTCGGAGAAACCGTTCGGAAGACAAATATCATGCCGTTTCCAAGGCTTCTGAGCTTCATGTGCTCCTTTACAAATAATAAGACTTTTTGTAATGGATAAGATATTTGATGTTTAAAAGCATTCTTAAAGGGATTTTTCAGCAAAAAGTGTACTGATATTCTATCATCATTTACCCACCCTCATGTCATTCTGTGAAAGATAAAAGAAGATATATTTTTTTATTAAATTATGTCTTAGTGTGCGTTTTATTTTTTGGTGTTCATGCAGTGAAATGTTGTTTTTAGATCCGATTGACTTTGATTATATGGACAAAACATTCTTTACATTTTTACACTTCGTACAGGTTTGGAACAATATGTGGGTGAGAGAATTGATGGCAGAATTTTCATTTTTGGGTGAACTAACCCTTTAAAGAGTGAATGAGATTCTCTAGAATTTCAGAAAGTGAGCCATATTTTCAACAAATGTCGACACTGAGCAACACGGAAACCTCCGGCTTATTTATCTCAAAGATTATTTTTATGCCTAACTCGGCTCCCAGCCGTTATCGGTCCCTAAAATACATAACTTAGCGGTTGTAAATGTTCTCCAATCATTAACTCAATTCTTGGGCCAGGGTTGAGCTGCTGTTCATTCTCCAGTGAACAGAACCGGGTCTCTATAAGGCCAACGGAAGCTGTAGCCAAGGGCACTTGCCTCTCTGCCAGTACCACACAACACAAGGCCTGTTTGTGCCCAGGACTAAGGGCAGGGGCGGTACTCTTGCCAGGTCTGGAGATAAATCGAAAGATATTTTCCATTAATTACCTGGTTTTAACTTTCCAAAGCTGGCCTGATGGGGATGAAGGTGGAATTGTTGACGTTAATGTTGTGAGAGTACAATTGTCTGTAATAAATGGCTCATCCACAGCGATATGAAAAGCTGCAGAAGCGTCAGCATTCATTGTACATTCCCCGAGAGTACATGACCTCACATGTTAGGGTATGAGTTACCTGAAATGATGAAGATATTTGTACATGAAACCACATCAGTGGGTTGTCAAGGAAATGCATTTTGACAATACATGCCTTATTGTTGACATAGCTGCCACTTCAGACAGCTGGACATTACAGTGCTTTTAAAATAATGCAATAAGGTCAACAATAAAGATAGCTGTGTGTTTTAAGTGAGGTCCAAATGTCTGCAACGACATTAAAAGTTCTATATATATAACTGATATTCTTAGTTCTTGTATAGCCTAGTTCTCTATATATGTAACATTTTAAATATTTTAGGAATTAAAAAATAAAGATTAGAATTATGTGCTCACATGTATTCAAGGTGTGAATTCCAAATGTTATTCATTTTACTTAATAGTTACACCACAAGTCATTTAATTGAATCTTTTCTTGAAAATTATGTATATATAATTATATTTAAAAAGAATCATGAAACCAACATGAATACAAATAGTATGTTTCTAAGAATGTAGCACATGCAGCTTGAGCACTGCTGTCCTTAAAGCAATATGACGACATGCCAAAGTCATTCTAAAATCCATTCATGTATTTTTTTGTATAAAATAATGTAAACATAATTTTATATCTAATGTGTGTCTTAGAAATATGCAAAATATATGTGCTTTGTTGGTTCGTTTTGGGGGTTATTTTGGTTAGCACATACTGCAGTCATTACAGATTGTTTAAACACTGAACGTTTTGTTCAAGACAGGTATTTAGGCTGTTCAGGTTTTTGCATATGCTAACCATTTCATCATCACACATTTGACTTGCCAATTGACTGGTTTGGTAAATCTGGTTCTTCATTATCGCACAAATGCTCTTATTTATCAGTCTCGGGAGTTTACAGCACCGTTGCACCGTTGCACCTCAATGGCTCTCCAGGGTGCACTCGTTTTTAGAGTTCTATTTTTGTACATTGTTTGTGCCCATATCTCCTCTTGCTATCGCATGTCACTGTTTTGGTTTTGCTTTGTGTTCCAATCCTTCATGGCCGCCACACCTATGAGGTTTCTGTTTACTCTGTACTGCATTGAAGCACTGTGCAGAGCTGCTCCGTTGAACTTGCCTTTGTGTGCAGGGAATGATCTCCCACTGCTTGTACCTGGTGCTGCATGCACAAATGCTCTTATTTATCAGTCTCGGGAGTTTACAGCACCTCAATGGCTCTCCAGGGTGCACTCGTTTTTAGAGTTCTATTTTTGTACATTGTTTGTGCCCATATCTCCTCTTGCTATCGCATGTCACTGTTTTGGTTTTGCTTTGTGTTCCAATCCTTCATGGCCGCCACACCTATGAGGTTTCTGTTTACTCTGTACTGCATTGAAGCACTGTGCAGAGCTGCTCCGTTGAACTTGCCTTTGTGTGCAGGGAATGATCTCCCACTGCTTGTACCTGGTGCTGCAATCACAAATCAACTGTGAAAGACATTAACCTAGTATATGCTTGCATGATCTCCTTTTTCAAATAAAATCTTTTAAACCGCTGTGGTGAAGCGAAAAGGGTAAAATGGCAGAGCAGACATTTCAGTTTGACAGCAGCTAATCCAATTAGCAAAGCATGCACAAAACCTGTCAACATGGACTGCATACAGTCACAAATAAAAACATTCAGTGAACTTAATTAAATCGAGAAGAGTCGTTTCCATGCAGTTAAATTAATGCATAATTTGGATTTCAGTTTCGTTGTGGTCTTGTTTTGCAACTTAAAATTCTTTAGTTATGCCTACTAGATGCAAAGAAAATTCAAATAAATTCTGCAAATAAATTTTTAGGCATTTTGCCAAAATAGAGAGGGCCATTGGCTATATTCTAGCATACAAAAAGTCATAAATAAATATCTTTTATTTATTAAATCGCTAAATTAATTAAACCAAATGTTTATTTTATTTAAATAATATAAAAAACTAAATTTTCCGTCAATTGTACATCTGGTTATGACTGATTAAAATTATTAAAACAAATTTATTTTTAATTAATAACTTCCATTTTACAAATTGAATTTGATTGCACACAATGACATTAAATTTGGATAAAATAATCAATTGAATTAGCAGGAGCAATGTACACTAAAGGTACTGCACTGTATTATAATCATCTTCTGTTTGTTTCAGACACGGATGGAGATGGATAAATATTTGCCCCAAATCACCCCACTGGTTGCCCCAAACATTATGGATAAGAAGTTCCGTCGGGAAAGCGCTTCGGTGGTGGATGAGTATTTTGCAGATGAGAAGCCAGCCCCTTACAGTCTCAACATCAACGTTATCCTGCCCAATACCACACACCTTCGCACGGGCCTTTATCGTCCAAACAAACCTCAGGTGCATCAGATCAAAACTGAGCCAGGGGTGGACTTACCCTGTAGCATTCAGACACTCCCCGAATTCACCTCCGTCTTCAGCGTGCCCCAGACGGTCAACAGCCTCTTTATCAAACCTGACATAAACGTCACAGATCAGTCTTCTGATGTTATACAATAGCTTTGGGTGAGGAACAAACAAAATGTACTGTATCGTAATCTTGACATTCGTGTGTCTGATTTGTGAAGAAACAGTTCCTTTGAATGATTGATACAGTTTGCAAAACCACCTTAGTAAAAAAGTAATACATTTAAAATACATTTATTTCATAATAAGTATAGTTCAAATCTATTAACATATTTACTGACATATCGCTTGAGACTTACTGATATCAAAATTTTTTATCAAATTTATTTGGAGTACTACTTGTGCACAATGCACATTTCTTAATATTAAGCCTAAAATGTGTTTTAATATCACCATTGATGGGGATTTTATGATATTTGAACAATATCTTTGAATAATGTCTTTAAATTAAGTATACTTGCAATAGTTCCACTTTAGCACAATCAAATATACTTCAGTGTATCTTTAGTTGGACTTCAGCACTACTTCCGCACAATTAAAGTGCATTAAGTACAAAATTAGTTGTTCCAATTTAGCAGACTTTAAGTATACCAGTTTAGTATACCAAAAGTACAATTTCAAGGTATTTTTATTAAAGGAATAGTTCACCCAAAAATGAAAATTCTGTCATCATTTACTCACCCTCATGTCGTTCCACACCTGTATGAGTTGCTTTCTTATGTTGAACACAAAAGAAGATATTTTGAAGATTGTTGGTAATCAAACAGTTCAAAATATCTTCTTTTGTGTTCAACATAAGAAAGCAACTCGTACAGGTTTGGAACGACATGAGGGTGAGTAAATGATGACAGAATTGTCATTTTTGGGTGAACTATCCCTTTAAGTACATATGTAAATGTATTAATATTCTTACTTAACATGAAATAAATGTATTTCAAATACATTTTAGAATTTATTTTTCCCTAGGACAGCCAAAATGATTAGTTTGTGAATTAATCCAAACTAAGTCGATTCAGAAGTTAAGTCGAAATTATTCATAGGTCTTCTGAATCTTTTTTTTTTTACTTAATTGTAACTGCATGTAAAAGAATGACAGGTACATTATTCAAACTTTCTCCTTTTGTGTTCTACAGAAGATAGAAAGTCATAGAGGTTTGGAATAATATACGGGCGAGCTAACTATTCTTCTAAAGTTAGAAGCAGTTGTTACTACTTGACCAGTTGCAATGTACCATCAACACAAAAACTACAAATGCTGCAGCAGCTCGCACAGAGATGACAGCCTAAGGACAAGAGATGTAGAAAGACCGAGAACAGGGTGGAGGCAGAGATTAATTGACTCTCTTTTCATGCTTTTATACACATTGTGTCTGCATGCCTGTACAAGCCCTGCATGCTTTCCCGAGGGGGAAATCGCCAAGTGGTGGAGGAAAAACCTGTTCCTCTTGCTTTTTCTGTCTGTGTTCGGGGGGTGGGAGGTGTGCACCGCCGGGAGAAAAGAACTTGGCAGTTTCAGTGTGTTCAGCTCGGCGTAAGATGAAACCCACTGCAATCCCACCACACTTTAGAATGAAACCGAAATCTTCTCTCCCAACACCAATGGGTGTAATTTTGACGTTCATATGACGTTAAGCTGATAAAAGCACCTTTTCAGCCTAGTGACCACTTTCTTCATTCTTTTATAATAATTTCGGGGTGGTCACCGAGAATGTAGAGGGATTCCCTGTAGCCTGAGGTATTACTATTGTTGTACTCTCACTTACTGGCACCCTAGAGGTATCTTCGTAGCTCTTTAAGCTTTGTACAAAACGAATGTTCCCATGTGGTACATTGTGAAATCAAGTAGATGTTGCAACTGTGCGAAACGTGTTAGCATGGATAAAACTAAAGAATTACTGTGATTTAGGCAATGTGATTACATTAATTTTATCACAGTTAAGGGGAATTTTTAGGCATAAAACCATGGTAAAATCACTGTAAAGCATGGCCTTGTGTGGCTTATTGCACTATGATAAAAGACACTAATATTTAATAAATAGTTAAATGCATTATAATAATTGGGCTGTCAATTAATTTAAAAATATACAAATTACATGATTATCAAAGTAAATTAATTACAGTTATATGTAAATAACTGAGTAAAGCTACCAAATTAAGGTAAATCAAAGACATTAAAATATTTTGGCAAACAAAAGCATAGAATATGTCACATATAACTGTTTTTCATCTCGGACCATAAAAACTCTATTGTAACTTGATTTGCCAGTTTTTAAAAATGCTTTAATTTTCTATTTTTATATAGGTTATTTTTAAAGTAATGAATTCCACTAAAACATTCAAATTCCCACCCCGCATAAAATCAAATCAAACTAAATTATCCTATTTGGAAAAAGTGAGGTTTAATGAAAATAGCCTGTAGGCTGTTAACAGCAATGCAGCAACTGGCATTTTAATATAGACTATAGAGTAATATCTATAGAATATCCAGTCAGAATTTAGAGTCAGAACTATTGGTAACACTTTATTTTAAGGACCAATTCTCACTATTTACTAGTTGCTCATAAGCATGCATATTACTAGCATATTGGCTGTTTATTAGTACTTATAAAGCACATATTAATGAATTATTCTGCATGACCATATTTTAGATCCCTTAATCCCTAAACCATCCCTAAATTTAACAACTACTAACTATTAATAAGCAGCAAATTAGGAGTTTGTTCAGGGAAAACTCTTAAGTTAATAGTGAATATGTGTTCCCTATTCTAAAGTAATACCAAACTATTTTCAGTAGTTTTTGTTGCATTATTTTCCAAACGTGTTGTTATCACGGTAATCTATTAGCGCTCTTACCGGACATTTAATTTCAGAACTGCTGCGATATGTACAACAACCAATTTAATAACATGTTGCCAGATTAATGTTCATATGTTTCAGATAAAACTGAACATGATGCAAAAAGCAACATGTTTTTTTTTTTCTGATGAGCCTGTGTTGTTTCGCTCTCTGTCCATCTGTAAGGTGTGTTTATGTTGTCACAGGTCAGGTGGACATGGTGTGGAGTTGTGTTTCAAAAGATGTTGGGGGTTGGGAATGATCCCGCCGCACTGAAAGCTGTCAAACAACAGTTTAACAGCTCTAGAACATTCTGTGCTGACAGATGAAAGTCAGAACAGGTCGATAATACGTGTCATTTTGATGTCTTCAGGAATTATATGTTCTATTCATGATTAAAAAGTATGTCAGGATGTACTAGATGTGCAATTAAATACAAGCCTGCAAAACTTGTTAGCTTTGTAACTTAAGGAGTAATCTAAGCAGCTAGCTTGGATTATGCTAGTGGCTCTTCAAAAAAAAAAACACTTTGCCAGTTTGGTGGAGCATATCTAAACATTCTTTATAGTAGTGTTAATTTTGTCAGCTATTTTCATTTTAGTCTTAGTCCCGTGTTAAAATGTCCTTGTTAGTTTTTATCATATTTAGTCAACCTTATCCTATTTAGTTTTAGTCGACTAAAAGTCTCAACATTTTAGTCTAGTTTTAGTCCAAGAAAACCTGAAGTATTTTAGTCTAGTTTTAGTCCAAGAAAACCTGAAGTATTTTAGTCTAGTTTTAGTCAATGAAAACATTGACTTTTGACAATTTTGACATTGACATTTTAGCAATAAGATTATTAATTAACCGTGCCGTATTCATTTTGGCAGCCATTTTTTATTTAGTCTTAGTCTTAATCAAATGTACATTTTAGTTATATTTAGACAACCTTGTCCTGTTTTTGTTTAGTCAAGTTTAAGTCAATGAAATGTATGAGCATTTTAGTCACGTTTTAGTCAATGAAATCTTAGTCACATTTTCGTCATTCTGTATAATGGTTAAACTGATCAGTGGTTCCCAACCCTGGTCCTGGAGGCACCCCAACGCTGCACCTTTTGCATGTCTCCTTTCTCTGACACACCAATTTCAGGTCTTGAAGTCTCTACTAATGAGCTGATGACCTGAATCAGGTGTGTTTAATTAAGGAGACATGCAAAACGTGCAGTTTTGGGGTGCCTCCAGGACCAGGGTTGGGAACCACTGAAACTGATCAAAAATAATTTTCTCAAAATTATAATCGTAATGATTGTTGTCATTTGAGAAATTTACTTTTTCATTTCAGGTATTGCACTAAGCACAAATCAATAGAATGTGGGCACATACATGGTGTATTTTACCTAATCTAGTGTACTGATTTATTATAGGCTTTTTATTATATAATTTAATACCAAAGACTTATGCAATCTCTCTGTCTACATTATGAAAACAGCTAAAACAAACGAAAAATATTATAACACTGAAATTCCTAGTAATTCCAAATGGCAATAGCCTATTTCTCTATTAAAACAACAGCGGTTGAGTAAGTGCATTTATTCAGCGACCACAATCGCAAACAATACAGTCGAGATCTCATGACAGAACACAGACCGGCTGAATGAAGCTTTCATTTAGATTGCTAAACTCCAGCTTGTTTGTCGCTGTTTTCAGATCATCAGCGGTGGCGTTTCCGCAATGAAGAGCGAGCGTGCACATGGTTGCCAGATTGCTGAAAATAAGCAAATCACTGGGCAGAAAATGTATCAATGTAACAGCGAAGCTCTATTTCGGGGATTTAAATTCTTGGTATCTGGCAACTGCACTCATGAGAGCTCGCGTAGTAGAGGCATGTAGTAGTGATGCTACCGATTAATTAGTAATGAGTCCGATTAATTTCCGCGAACCGGTTCTTTTCGGACAGATCGGCTCATTGAACCGGCTCAAAAAGCCGATTCATCAGTTCGCATTTCTTTTCTAACAACTCAGTGCAATGTTGTATCAATTAAATATTCAAATAAGTTATTTGTGTCAACACATATTGAAACATTCAAAAAATTAAGTTATTTGTGTGAAAGCATATTGCCGATTACTACCATATAATTCACTTAAGTTAATCATGTTTGAGGTCACAGTTTCATTCGCGGATCCTCAGATACGACTGACTGACCAATATTGACTAGCCTACAACTTGAATAAGATTCCTAAAAGTTTCACACCTACAGCACATATTACAGACATTGATG